ATGTGTAAAATTTGTTTTATAGGAATCTTAAAAATCTTGGTTTTGACTAATTCAGAAGAAAATAACGAAAAAGCAAGTATATGTCATCATACAAAACCTAACACTTAACTAGGTGATTTTTAAGTCAAATTATTTTTATTCTTTGAAGTATCAGTTTGAGACAGCATCATCAGAGGTGCAATTAAAACTGGAAAGAATAGCTTTCTAAAAGTATTTTCTTCTACTTATAATTAAAGTAACCATCATTTTATATTTAACTCAAATATCTACTAAAATTACTTATTAAAATTTAAAACTCTGGGAAAAAGTTTCTCTTTATTTCAAAACAATTTATTGCCAAAATTTTAAATCTAATTTTTTTTTATTTTTGCACTTCTGCCCATCAATCTGGAAATAATAATAGTTCATAAGAAAAAAGCACCAATTATTTTTAAGATGAAAACTTCAACATGACTTTCACCTTGCTATTTCATAACTCTTGAAAGTTACAAGTAAAAACAGAAAATAAAAGACTAAATTTAATGATACTGATAGCAAACAATACAAATACATACACTAAATATTTTAACAAATAAATGACTAGAAAAAATAAAGAGTATGCTGATGCTGTTTCAAATTAAATGATAAGCAACATACAAGTCAGACAAAAATTGTACACAGAAAAAAAACTATAGAAGACAGTAAAAATGACACTTATATATAAAGTGGTCCACAGAAATCAGGATAGGTTTATCTTGAAAACCTAAATGCATCGAGGAAACCCCAAGTACATCCAACACAGTAGTACTAAAAACAATACTTGGAAAGTTTTAAACAGAAGGACTAATAGAAGTTCAGTTAACATCCACATCTTTTCAACTTTTTTAATTCTTAAAATCTGACTGAAATTTCCAAAGCAAACACTATATACAACTGCCAGTCACTAACCCACCACAATACTATTTTCTTAAAGAAGTTTGCTGGTGTTGTGTGCCTCTCTTTAATTATATTCTCTCAAGATTTACAGCTTGGATCAGGTAGAAAGCTAACCCCTCCCTCATACTACCAAAATTGCCTATGCATACATTTGTGCTGCCTTCATTAGCCCATGACTTCTTAAGAGAAAAACAAGTTTTATTTATCTTTATCTCTGAAGTGCTTAAGAAAGCACATTTATCTCACAAGAGGTATTCAAAAAAGATGTCTTCTTTAGTTAAACTTCATCATACCATGGCCAGAACAACAGTACACAAATCAGGTATAATTAAATCAAAAGCACAAGCTAATTTGTGATAGAGAGGTTCTCATCCCTGTTTTTAAAAACTAAAGTTTCACGTGGTCAAGAAAAAACAACCACTACCATCAGTGAGCATTACACAGTAATAAGCAGGAATGCCTTGCCTATACTTACTGTTAATAAATTATTTAATAAGGAAAATTCATATCAACACAAAGAAGACTCCTTCTCCCCTTCCACCAAGTATTCTCCAGGACATTTCAATTTTTTAACTCCTCAGAACTTTCCTTTATCTCCTTGATTTTGTTTATTCCACTCCTACAAGAGAATCCTCCAGAGAAAAGCAGTGGTAACTACCGAAAGGTCCAGATCCAAAACAGAGTTAATCTTTTAAGAAAAGCAGGATTCTTACTCACATGATTGTTCTGACCCACTACTAAAGAGATGCAAAATTACAAAAAAACTTATTTAAAAGTGATACTGAATGATCCGAGATGTCTCTATAAACTATACATTTAGTACAGAACCAATCCATCCTAACCCTCAAGTCTATACCTATTAGACTCACTGAAGATATTTATTACAGGTTCCTAAAAAATAGCCAGGCAAATACACAATTTCTTATCCTGGTGGACAGGTGATCATCTCCAGATGACATAAAGGAAGGTTATTCTCTGATATTATGAAAATGGAGACAGTTTATAATTTTGAAGCAAAAAATATGCTTTCAGCTTTACTTCTATTTAAGGGTATTTGGCTTAAAATAGAACTCATTTTGGAAGGAACATGTGAGAGAGAAAGAGAGAAAGTGGGGGAGGGGAGGGGGGACAGGAGGAGGGAGGGGGGAGAGAGGTTGGGAGGAGAGACAGAGATTGATTCTAAAAGTTTATATGCTTTAAAACAAGAACTTTTGGGATTCGGGTAAGATCACTAAATGGTCACCAGAATTAAACTCCCATATTTCTAATATTCATTTAGTTCTTGTTAGTTCTAAAAAGGTATATCTGTTTTTCATAACATTAATGATGATCATTTAAGTACATAAAGTCTAATTTTCTTTTCCTCTTTTAGTTTTCAAACTCAAAATATGGGGATGGTAATTCCAAAATTATGTGGATTAGAAGGTATTAGAAATACCTTCAAAATGATCTGAAATAAAAAGGTAAATGATTATTTGTATTACATACAATAGCAAAACTAATTAAAGTAAGATCAGATAACAATACCTGAAAAAAGAATGAAACTGAAAGGATTCACAGAAGAATATCCAGACAAAAATTTTTAAAAATTATCACATCCAAAGAAAATATCTTAAAATAGCAGTTAAAAAATGAACTAAAAAATTAGTTTCTATTTTTTAAATGGAGCCAAAAGATGATTTAACACATAAGGAATTCTATTTGAGAGAATCCAAGAGCCAATAACAACCTTGTAAGACTTCAGAAAAATTCAATCCTTGAAACATTTAGCAGAATATAAATACACTACCCCTTCCCCTCCAAAAACATACTACTTCCATTAATTTATTTCAACCCTGAACTACCCAATGAAACTCTACAGGAGGTGCATCTAAAATAGGATCAACACTTTAAATGTTGTAATCAGAGGCTCCAATATTTTTAAAAGAAAAAAAAAGTGAGCTAAAACACTGCTCAAGCAATATTCAATCTATTCCTAATCCACTATGTGGTAACATGTAACCTCCTGGCTGTCCATAGCTCCTGACTCTGCTTCAATGACCTCTGAAGGCCTGATATTTGGGTTTTGTTTTTGTTTTGTTTTTAGGATTGAAGTTTCTTGGATCTCTGGCTTTTCTGCTTCCCTAAATTCTTTCTTTCCTACTCTTCATTTGCCTAAATGTAATAGTTTCTATCTCTACCTGAGCAAACTTCAGTTATATTTATTATTCAAGTTTAATATGGATTTTTCTATTACTGTCTCTAGTCAAGGCCTAAGTCTTGGGTATTGTGCTCAAATAGGCCCTAGGATTTAATCTAATTTTTAAAATATTTTTATATCTGGATCTTGCTTACACTTATTAGTTCTTCTCCCTGATAATGAATACACTGAGTAAATACAAAAAATAAAATCATTCAACTTTTTATTAATAGCAGCTTTGATACAAGGTTGATAAAAAGGAAACTGCATGTAACCCTCTAAGTATTTAATTTCTTAAAGCTAATGTTATCATTAATTAACCAATATCAAGTTAGCAATACATATCTGCAAGAGTTTTCTTAGGAACTCCAGGTCAATAACAGTTAACTAAGGCCCTAGGACTCAAGTTAAAAGTATCCTAATAAGAAAGTTAAAAGTTGATGAAAATCCTCCAAATCTAATCTTCTTTATGGGATAAACATATGGGCAAGCCATGTCTACGTAAAAACCTGCCGTGTTCCAAGAATCTTAGACATTTAAGTAAATTTGTAAGGGAATGAATAGGGACAAAAATTTTAAAATGTGTCAGCATTACCATGGTAGATCAGACACAAGGGAAATCCTTGCTCAGCAGCTAATTACCTATATACCCCACTCCAAAAAAAATTTTAACCCATTTTTGTCTAAGAATTTGAATGATTTGCTATTCACCTAATAAATTTAGATGATCTTTGTTTAAAGAAAAAGAACGTTTCTATTTTGTGTAAACAGTAATATCTAAGAATTTATCTTGTGTGACTATTAAATTCTTAACATTTCCAAACTATTAATGAAGGACACTACTGAAAAGTTTCTTTGAAGGAGACTCCTATATTTAGCCCTAAAGTTTTGATGAGACATCCAAACCAAACTCTCCTGAAAATATTCAAAACAAAAGTACGGGTAAGTTTCACAATGTATAAAAATTACTTTTCCATTATGATAATATTTTCCTTCTTGATTCCTTCTCTTGAGTAAATTTGAGAATACTAATTTTATATAGAGAAAAGCTTCATTAGTATGGTTCTGAAACCATATAAGCTAAAAGTTTGACAATTATAATCAAGAAAAAACTGTAATCCTCAGTAGTAGATCTTTTTCTCTTATTGCTGACCAAGAAACCACTACTCTTAGAGTAAATATTATTCTGGACGGAGAGGAATCACCAATTGAATTCCATAGATGCATTAAAAAATTACACAAATGAAAGAAGTAGGACACACCAGAGTGACATGTCTTCCTTTACAAATGTCAAATATTTAGTTAGAATATCTTCATATGAGCACCATAGCCTTATTAATTATCCCTCAAACACTGTAAACTTACTTTATAAATGTACAAATTATTAAGAGAGGATGGTAATTTACACCTCTTAATGATGCTTTTTTTTCCTTTCATGAGTAATAATGACAAATTTCCAGATTGGTGAGCATAAGGCTGGCTCAATACATAACCCACATGAAATGTCTCTCAAAGAACTCCCTACTCCTGTACCTCAAAAAGATCACGTGTAGACTTTACCAAAGATGTAGGGGCAGAATTATAAGTTGGTTTACATCATAAATTCTGTAACTAACACATTTTTATCAAATTAGGATTTGTCATTATAAAAATAATAAAGTAAATGAAAAAGGGTCTAAATCAAAACCAAATTTTCTTCTAAGCAAGAAATGCTTAAAATGCTATATGAAGGAATATTATATAGGAGACAACTTTCAACAGTTTATCATGAATTCATAAAACAGATAAAATTAATACTAAATGCTCTGCACTAATGTTAAGAATTCAAAATAAACACATTTATAAACAGTCTTTCATTATATTCCTAACTTCATATTCCATATTATTTAAATATTTTTAAACTTACCCAAATGAAGTAATGTAAACTGGGCTGCCAGTTCCTTCGCATCTTCTAATGTAGTACAGAGTTTGTCTGGCATGAAGTAACTCTGGGATCCATTTGCAATAGCAGGAATAACTATTTTATATACCAAGAGTACTTTCCCATCCTGACTGGTTGTTGAATATAAATAATATTCTGGTGGTGCCCAATTATTCTTGTTGCAGTAATAATCCAAATGCATTACTGCAGAATTAAAATGATTGGATTTTAAAGAATACATACTAATTGGAGTAAGCTTTGTTCCAGGAAAAAAAGGGTAGGTGCATCTCTCAATTTCAGGGGGGCTTGGACTATGCTGACCATTAAGACGAGCAAGAAGAGTTGGTGGCTTGCCTAGAGTTTTTGGGTGGCTCTCTTCTTTGTTAGCATACACAATCAGGTTTTCAGAATTGGGACTAATCTGACCATTAAGATGCTGTCGCCAAGTGTTTTCTTTATTTACTGGTTTTGCCAGTGTTACCTCAATACTTGCTCCATCAATGCATTTTCCATTCATAACAGACATAGCAGCCACTGCATCTTCTCGGTTGAAAAAGTGAACAAAAGCATAGTCTCTAAGTTTCTTTACTCGTTCAACTGCACCAGGCTTGAATTTATTGAATTCTGCTTTAATAGTTTCCTCTGTAGTTGATATCATTAAATTTCTTACATAGAGAACTTTAACTCTCTGCATGGTTTCCTCATCAACTTCTTTCTCTGGATCAGCCCAATCTACCTGTATGGTGTGGCCCCATAGTTGGAATGTTCCTGTATAAAAGAATTATATTAATTTGAAGACAATCAGAACAAAAAACAAAAGTTTTAAATATTAAGTAAAACTATTTCTTCAAAGAAGCAGAAACTCAAGCACATATCATTATATTTGGTTAAGCCTTCATTTCCTACTCACATAAAAACTTTTTATTAAAGCAAACATAATCAGAATTTAGTGGAATCCCCTCTGTACCCGATACTGGGAACTGAACACAGGGATGCTTTAGCACTTAGATATATCCCCAGACCTTTTTAAATTTTGAGACAGGGTCTTGCTAAGTTGACCAAGAAGGCCTCAAACTTGGGATCCTACTACCTCAGCCTCTCAAGTAGCTTGGATTACAGGCAAGCACCTGACAATGAAATTTATTTAAGCAAATATGACAAATATTCTTTAAAGCTAGGTCTCCATTAGAAGAATTAATTCTCTTTGGATTTTTATTAATAATTAACACCTCAACTAAAGTATATAGTTCAGTAATTGATAATTATCATAAACATGATAAATTTTTATAGGAATAATTTCTTGTCTTTTAGAATCGTTTATTTTACTTCCCTTACTCAAAGAATTCTTTATTCCTGTTAAGCGGCATTACATATTTTGTTAATAATTATCTATGATGTACTGTTATTTTTCCATATTTGTAATAATAAAGTTAATATGGAAAAATAACCTTTAAAAGATCAGTTTACCTGGAATTAGTTTTCTCCTAGCCATAGCAGCAGCTCTGTGAGATTCATATTCAACAAATGCAAAACCACGATTTTTGGTCTTATCAGTTGCACTTGGATAGACAATGACATCTACAACTCCTTCAGTAACTTTCTTCATTTCATCCAAAATTTCTTCTTTCTTCTTTTCCTTAGGAATAGCTCCAATAAATAATCTGCAATTATCCAAGCTCACACACACACCAATAAACTTCCCTGGTCTAATCTCATAATTATTAAGAATTCTGATGGCTAACTGGGCTTCTTCTTTTGTAGTGTACATCACAAAAGCATAACCTCGATTTTCACCACTAAATTCCATCATAAGTCGAAATTCATATATCTTTCCAGCTCTTTCAAATACAGGAACTAACTCATCTTCATACATATCACGAGGTATTTTTCCTACAAAAACTTCACAGCCTCTTGGTGGAGGTGGACCTTCCCAACCTGAAAGACCAAAAAAAAAATTTTAAAAAGATTTATTCATTACTGAATCATTTATTCATTCAACAAACTTGCTGTGAGCCTCTTATGTGCCAAGCACTATTCTAGGTGTTGGAGATACAATGGCTGATATTCAAAAGAGAAGAAAGACAATAAGTGAATGGTAAGTGCTATGAAGGAAAAAGCAAGCCATGAAAGGGATGATGCATTCAATAAAGTGACATGGTAAAGCTCTGAGCTTGTGATGTTTAAGTACAAATAAGGGAATGAGCCATGAGGAATCTCTCAGAGAAGAGCATTCAGGAAGAAGAAAAAAACAGGAGTTTTAGATGTTAGAGCAAAATAGCATAAAGGTCTATATGGCTACAGCATGCTTGAGGGTCAAGCAAAGGATTTAGTGATACAGTCACTGAGGTCATTGGAAGCAAGAACTTTAGATATAATAAAGCTAACTGGAGGGCTCTGAACAAAGTAGCTGCACTGCCCACTGGTAGGAAAATAAAATACTATATCTTTTTGAATCTGATTTTCTCATATAAATAGCAATTTTCTACTCATTGCTTTCAAATTCTCTCCCAAACAACTTCCACTTTAATACCAAAAGTACTCTTTTTCACATTGTACCAATCCAGACTTCTTTCTCAACTGCTTCTCAAACCAAGAGCAGAGCTGGGGAAAAAGGGAGGTGGGAGGTGGGGGAGTAAGACGAGCACAGCATCTATCCCTTCCCCTTAAAATGACTGGTGAGGTCTTAAAGCAGTTACAAGGAGAGAGCTACTATTTGGGATACTTGCAGAAATATACACATCATCTAAATGACTAAAGATCTAATTTAAAAGAATATAAACAAATCCCCACCTGGAGGTGGACCACCAAATTTCCTTTGCCCATTTTCTTGAACCATGTTGTAACCAGTCTTTTCCATCAAAGCAAGTAATGCTGCTTCATTCTGAGTGCCAGTTCGAACTTTACCACATCCATTTGTTCCATCTATATTTTCTTCATTCATGGCTGTAATACCTAAAATGAAGTTAAATTTAAAAATGCTTAAATTTATGTCATAGAACCCATAATCTATGAAGCATTCCTTTGTACAAGAAACCAATGACAGTTGTGGCTGCCATGTTGGGTGATTACTCTTTGCTGTTTGTTCCCTTTAGTTCTGCAATAGAAACTGGAAACTTCTTTTATTACTGAAGAGTAAATAAAGCAGAGACAAAAAGCCTGTCTCATAATATTTTAATTTTTAGAAGGGACAGAAAAAGTGAAAAAAGATAAAGAAATAAAACCAGTAATGATAAAAAAAAAAAAAAGAACAAGAGAGAGAAGGAAAAAATAAAACAAGGGCTGCGGGCATAGCTCAGTTGGTAGAACGCTTGCGTCCCATACATAAGGTTCTGTGTTCAATCCCCAACACCACACACACACACACACACACACACACACACACACACACACAGCAAAAGGAGCAAGAAAACAAAACATACTGCCATCAAAGAATACATAATCATTGTTAATCTTCATAGCCTAAGATTTAAATCACTTTATTATATAGGCCACTCCATCTTTCTGTGACCAAGTACAAGTAAGATTCTGCCAATATTGCTCATTTTGTCAGCAATCCCAAACAGCTTCACCAGAATCCAAAACCTGATAACTGGAATAAGAGATTCAAGTCAGTCCCTGAACCTATCTACTAGAAGTTACTAGAGAGATGAGAGAATACAACCTCTGGTCATCTGAGCAAAAACAAGAGCTACTATAATTTCCTACTAGCTGCAGCTTAAGAAATAAAACAGGTGGGCAGGAGGTAAGGCAAAAGAGCTGAGAACTCACTTACCATTAAAAATGTACTTTAATTACCATATTCTTTAGGATTTTTCCTAATATCAATGCTGTGGCTTATTAATTAATTTTATATTGCTCATTCAATGTTATCATGAATAAATACAAAAATTAAAATTCACAGCATGGAGAAAGAATACACTGTGAAAGCTTTTTCACTTTCCAATAGAACCTTCCTAATTATAAATGGAAACAAAGTCACTGGCACAAAGCATTTTAAAATATGAAATTCTGAGCCACAGCACCTCAATTTCAGGTTTCCTTATTGTGCAATCTTAGACAATTTATTCAATTTCTTCACACTTCAGTCTCTTCACTTAAAAATGAGATAACCTTATAACATGGTTGCTTTTAAGACTGAATAAGACAAGATATGTAAAAAGATTGCCAAAATTCCACAATATCAAATAAAGGCTAGCTTTGATAAATACGAGACTAGCAGTACATCTTACTTTTTTTTGCACCAACTCTGTTGACACAGACATGCTTTTTTCAGAAACATATTTCATTTTCTCAAAAGTAAGAAGTGAGTGTGATATGACAGACACATAGCTACAGAAGAATATCCACATCTCTACAGTAAGTGGGATGGGATTGAAGTGATATCACCAAAGGATCTGCTCCAGAGCATTGAACTGTCCCTGCAGCCATCCTCCCTAGTATTACCTGGACTCATAATCTTTCTTTTCACTTACTAACTATATAATTTTAAGTTATTTATTAGCTCCAGTGTATCTCAACTTCCTCATCTATCATGTGCAGAAATAATACTTCCTAGTCTCACAAATTTTTATGAAGAATAAATCAATGTTTAAAAAAGCCTTTAGGATTCATTTTTTGGCTTTAAACAATAAAAATACTACTCAACCACAAATTTTTATGCATATATTGAAACCTTTCAAACCACTAGGCATCTGCAAATAACTATATCCTGAAATCCCATTATTCAATTATCCAAAGAATAATTGGCTTCAAAACAAAACTGTGATACCAGACAGAAACAGAATAATAATCTGATAATAAAATCATAAGAGGTTTGGTTTAATTCTGTGGGTGTACTATAAATATCAGGAAATTTCTACATGTTATTGCTGATCACTACAACTACTAGAGGCAAGTATAAACCTTACTAAAAGAAAACTATTATTTCCATTTAACAGATCGAGAGAATTATACTACCCAAGATCATAAGAGCCAGAAAGTGGCATAGACAGATTCATAACCAGGTCTGTTTGATCTCAAACACTACCCCTTCCTGCCAAGAAAATTATTCTGTTATACTTTCTGCCACAATTTTACCTTAAGTCCCCTGAAAAACAAGGAAGACCCCTAAATTGACTTTCATGCAAATGAAATATTCAGAAAATGACATAGCCAACTTTTGTGAACTCTTAAGTACTTCCTACTTTTATAATATCTAAATTTTTCTGAGCGATGAATGATGGCATAGCATATCTCTCCTCTCTCCATGCACATGCATATATGTACGCACACTCTCCTTTTAAAGTTGCTTTCCAGGAAAGTAACTCATGCACTTCATAGTTTCTATGTGCCATCTATCTTATTTCCTTAAAGTTACTCTCTCGGGACCAGCCTTCTTTCCTAAGCTAAGATTCATTTACCAAACAGCCTAATGGATATGTGCTGAAAATTAGGTATCATTAGGCATCTCAAATTCAACATATCAAAAACTGAATGCCAGGGCTGGGGTTGTGGCTCAGTGGTAGAGTGTTCCCCTAGTATGCATGAGGCTCTGGGTTCAATCCTCAGAACCACATAAATGTAAAATAAAGATATTGTGTCCACCTAAAACTAAAAAATAAATATTAAAAAAAAAAAACTGAATGTCATTCTATCTTCCAAACCTGTTACTTGTTACTTTATCTTATCTCAACTCTTTCAATGAATACAGGGCACCAAAACAAATATATTCCTTCTTCAAAGTGTCAAAGCTAGAAATCTAGGAGTTATCCCAGAGGCTTTCCTTTGACTTATGGCTAACTGATCACAAAGATCTGAAGAATTCCATTGCATATAAGCACTATATATATATATATATATATATATATATATACATACACATACACATACACACACACACATATATATTATATATTTTTTAATCACTCTTCTTATTATTCATTTCTTATTATATGCCAACAGCAGGTACCTAATTATAAATTCTCAAATACGCATCTTCTCATATACTAGACTTAACCTAGATTTTTTTACACATTTCCTCCCTACTTTTTTTTGGCATTTTTCATTCCTAGTGTTCTCTGGGAATCCTTCTCCACCCCCACTCTCCTTCTCTCAATTCTAAATTTTAGGTATTCCTTTGTATCCACTACAATCACAGAACCTAAGAAGGTCAGTCTCCCTCTTCTTCACCTACACCTCCACTTGTTCCCTTCCTCAAACCCATGAGACATTCAAGAGGGTCTAGTCTTTTATATCTCTAACACCATGTAAACTCCTTGGCCTATGATAAATGTTAAATGAATGATTCAGGACAGGAGGTACATCATTATTGAAATGAAAATAATGAACTTGTATGAGAAAAGACCTGAATTTCAGTCACTGGTCAACACTTTCGTCAAATCACTTTATAACTCTGACCTTTACTGTCCTAATTAGTGAAATTCCAGTTTATGCTTACTTCTGTATATATTTAACATAATTAAATGCCATACAGAATGACAGACACAGTACTTGTTACTTTATCTTGTTGTAGTACTTGCAACAATCCTGTGAGATTAATACTGTTCTTTTCCATTTGAAAAACAAAGTGAGTCTGAGATAAAAATCATAGAATTGGAGAGGCATATACTCAATTCAGAGGTTTGTCTGCCCAAATGTTGGGCTCCTAACCTTTATTTTATATTACCTTCACTTTAAATATTTTAAAAGCTAAAAGCTATGAAAAAAAAAATGTGATTTACCTGCAATCATATAACATAGTGGTACCAATACCTGAATTCAGATTTTTTCACTATAGAAGTTTTTTTCAAACGATTAAAACATCTAGTCAAGGGCTGGGGTTGTGGCCCAGTGGTAGAGCCCTTGCCTAGCAAGGGTGAGGCCCTGGGTTCGATCCTCAGCACCACATGAAAATAAATACATAAAAGTATTGTGTCCAACTACAACTAAAAAAATAAATATTTAAAAAATTAAAAAAGTAAAACATCTAGTCAGTTACTCATTGACTTTGAAAACTTATACCATGATTAAAAAACAAACTCAAAACTATATTAAGGAGAAAGTCTAGCAACAAAAGCTTCTTGGAAAAACCTCTAGTAAAATAATTTCAGAATTATTAGAGACCTTAAATATCAAATTTACCCATGTGAAATCTACATCCTCTTTTGTAACACCCATAGAGAGCAGATATCCATTTTATTCATGATTCTTACATGGACTATCATCTAGAGCTCTGTATCTTTGGTTAACTGAGATCTTTCTTTCAATGCATTATAATCTTTTTCTCTATAAATTTCAATATTGATCCTGATTTATCCTCCTATCCAATTTCATACAGTTGCATCTAAAAGATAATTCTCCTCTTCTCCAGGCTAAATATTCAGTTTCTTTAAAACAACATTTCCCAAACTGGTTTCCTAAAGTATGGTAAATACAGTAAAAACAGCTTTTTTTTTTTTTTTTTTTTTAAGGGAGAAAGATGTTCTGTTCCTCAGAACACTTTTCCAGGGTATAAGTATTCCACATCTAATTATGTCTCAAAGAATCACTATACCTCTCCCCTCAAACTATAATAATGAACATCAGCATATTTAAGGCCATTAAAAGTTTCAGTTAAAATGAACTTTTCATCTTTGTTTAATTCCACTGTTTACCAAATTTATTTCAGCATGATCTCCTAATTTCCCTTGGCAAACTATTTACTTCCTATAGAACCATTTGGAAAATGCTACTTTAACTGTTTCTTATATACTGTACCATCATGTTCTCTCACTATCCTATTTCTTTTAAAAGTGTGGTAGCCAAAATTAAAAAGTTACTAGTACAGAGAATGATCACATTAGTGTCCAATAGAGTTGCATAAAATTATTGGTTCAAATGAGTTATATCTATCAAAAAAAAAAGAAATCTGTCCTGATCTATATACTAAGTAACCAGATTTTACAATCAGCTGAATTTTATCTTATTAGATTCGACTGCCAGTTCTCCCTACCTACCATCTAATCTTCACCCACTCCTTTTACTAGAGAATGACAAGAAATATATGCAAGACTTTGTACAGTTCAAGAAATTTCAATCAAAATATTGCAAAAGCTTGAAATTACAGAAATTTAAGACACACAGGAGAGTCACCAATCCCATCATCTCTTTAAAAAGGTATCTGTTCTTATAAGTACCGCGCACTAACCGATTGCGCCACTGGAGCTCCTAAAAAGGTATCTGTTCTTAAAATCTCCAAAACGATATATAGATATATACAAATATAAATATAAATATATATATATATATATATATATATATATATATAAAATGCACAATTAAGAAAGTTTACAAGTGCCTAAATTTAACACACTATTAGCCAAATTATATCTCTAAAAGAACCAAAATTCAAGATTCAGAGCCAGAGAATTATACTCAGATCTAAAACATTCATTCTAAAACATTCCAGAATCAATCTGAGATCTAACCTAAATGTCTAAGGAAGCATAGCAGCCCTAATCATCAAGACAAAGCTGACATACCAATTGAGGGTTCCAGGCTCACTCTTTCCTCTGCTACTTTCAGCTGTGGATTCACACTCCAAAGTATTCTACCAACTTTTTTCTTTATTCTGCAGACCCAAGGACTAGAGTAGGAAAATGAGGGTTCCTGGGCAAGAGAATGACACAAATGGTTTATGAAAAAGAAAGAAAAAAAGTAGAAATAATAGATTAAAAGTTGTTTTACCCAATGCACCAATGAAAAATATGAAAAAAATAACCAATAAATACTCCCTAAAAAAATAAATAAATGTTCTTTTGCCATATTTACCACACTTTCAGAGATAAATATTTTTACCTCTAGTTTAATTTTGAAAAAATGAAAAAACTCAATAAATTATGAAAAGGTCAGGACAACATAGCTAATCACAGAACAGATATACAACAATTCCACCAAATCTTTAGCTTTGTTAACTACATCTTAATTTCAAGCATCTTTCGTTAACAAATACATGTTTTTCAGATTTTCATTGTCTTGCAAAAAAGGAAATATATTAAACATATTAATAAAAAATAGACAAATACAATTTTAGTAAAATATAAATGGACAACACAATTTATCTAAGGAAGTTGGTTTCATCAATTTAAATTAAAACTTCTTCCAAATTTCTACAAAACAAGTAGTAATTTGAAAGTGAACAGGTCTTTTTTTAAAAATATTTTTTAGTTGTTTCTGGACCTTTATTTTATTTATTTGTATGTGGTGCTGAGAATCAAACCCAGTGCCTCACGCATGCTAGGCAAGTGCGTTACACTGAGTCATAACTCCAGTCCCATCTTTTGTGATTTTAAAAATTAAATGTAATAATGAAAACATTTTAAGATATCAAAACTTTTAAAGAAAGCAATTAGATATTTATGGAATTCTTAAAAGTAAATGTTAAATTCCTGATACGTTACAGTTCAGTTATACACTACAGTATAGTGAGACCATGGCTGCCAATTCAGTGGAGATTTTCAGCAGCAATTCATTTTAGTGACAGAATGCACTAGAGCAACTTGTTTGGAAAATAAGAAGGATTAATAAGACCTGTGAAGATATGTGCATCTAAGATTATTTCAAAATAAAAGTGCACAGATGGATCAGCTGAATTCCATTTAAAATTTTAAAGAATCAGCACATTTTGTTGCAAAAAGTAAAATAAATGTAATGCAGTGTTTCATGCACCTAGAATTACTGCAGAGAGATTTAAATTTTGCATAAAATAAAAATTTAAAAAATAATTTACAACTTTTAAGAAACTTTTAAAATATTTTTTGAACACAAAAGTATATACACACTTTGAATGCAGGACAAATATATCCACATATTATTGTCCAAATTAAGTATACCTCTATTCTTAAATTTTTTCTATAACCAAGACCTATTTTCTTCCCACATTTCCTTATCTAACCTAACCAACCACTAGGTAGTTAAAATAAAATGGTAAACAATAGCCAGCGTTAAAATGTCCAACTTTTTAAGCCAATTCACTGATTTCTATTCACAACTCTTTCTTAAGTACGTCTGGTGTCATCAGACAACAAAATGACACTGTGAAACATGAGGCTTAAATTTCAATCCATAAATTGGGTATATTCTTAATCTTTAAGTCATAATATATCCCATAATACATGTTTACGTTTTAAGTATTGAACTACATTATTATCTTCAGCAATATTCAAGTTTACTACTTCCCCCTGACGTGGAAATCGGCATTTAAAGCAGTACCTTAAGCAGAACACAAGGCACTGTTAATATGCAGTAACTGCAGTCACCTTTACGTCTATAAAGACACACAGTTGCAAATAAGTATTAAAATGGAATGGTTTGAATAAGTCTATCATCACGGTTCATAAGAAATTTAAATCTGAAAAGCTCCAAATATGTTTATTCCTCAACTTTCTGTTTTGTTGATTCTTGAAAATATCTTCCGATCATTTCAATAAGCAAATCTCTGCCCACACGTGAATTAAAGTCTACTTGCAGGGCATCCTGCTTCCTGCTTTATAACGCCATTCTCAAACAACGTGGGGCAGATTTTTTTTAAAGACAGGATTTAAAAGAGCTCCAACACATAACGTAAAGAGTAGAGCCTATTTACCACGAATGTAAAGAGAGTCAAAGCTTAAAGGAACTTCAACGTGAGCCAAATTAAATCTACAGAGGAGGAAGGCGGTGCCCGAGCCAACCAAAGGTTTACCCGAGGATCTCAGCATTTGTATCAACGCTAAGGTAAAACCCCCAATTTCCAGATTCTAGGAACTCCCTAGTTCTCCTCCAGAAACGTTTTAAAATTAGCCATTAAAGCCATCAAGTGTAAGGAAACCATGATGGTACTGTGGCGCGTCCAGCTACCCAAGGCGTACGCGGGTGAGAGGGGTCACTTGTCTTCCAGGTCCACCCGCGACCTTCCACACTACTCAACACGCATGAGAGGGCTTGGGGAAGAGACAGGAAGGAGTTACAGCAAGAGGAAAGTTCGAGGCTCATTCTCAGTACTCGAGGGAGGCACGACGTGATTGCTAAATCTCACCCAGCAGTCTGGACGCCCCTAGGCGTCGTCTCAAAGGCTCTGGAAGGGACTCGCGGGCGCGACAACTGCCGGACAGGAAGGCGGGCGGCCTGGACCTGCTGCGGTCTACGCAGGAAGAGGGTCAAGGAGAGAACATGGAAGGCAGCAGACGGGAAGCAGCCGGAAGGCGGCGAGGGAGAGCGGAAATAAGGCGGAGAGAGAGGGCAGGGCGCCGCTGGGCGGAAGGAGCAGCAGAGGCCCGACGGCGGGGACGGGCGGCGCGAGAGCGGGCGCCAGACACTGTCGGGCCACAAGATGCCCCTGGGCCAGGGAGGGACTTCTCCAACAGCTGACTTGGGCTGCTGGGTGGCATTGGGGAGGGCGGGATGAGCCCACAGCGATCCCCTGCTGCCTGTTCTGCGTGACAGTGAGTGGTACCGGACTTTTTGCGGCCAAGGGGCAGGGTCTCCAGCTGTTAGTTGCGGTAAGTTAGTTGGCTGTAAACCCACTGTCCCCATCCTTTCCTCACCCCTTTGGGTCTTCAAAGGTTGGTCCTAAATCCCTGGGACCAACGACCACAAACCGCCGCCACCACCACCGTTTCTGGGACCAGTCGGGCGGAGGGGCGGGGGTCGTCTCAGGGGGAGGGGGCCCACCAGGAGGAGCTCGCGCTAGTCCTCGTGCCTTGGCTAGGCTCCCAGCGGGCGCTGCGCGAGGTGGCCTAGACAGCCCCACGCGGCGGGGTGCTTCGACCAATCAGCAGCTCCGCGGGGAGGAGCAAGGAGGAGTGGGCCGGACCAAGGCTTAAGTCAATTAGGAGGTTCTGGGGAGAGGTGTAAAAGTGTTTGGAGTGACAGGCACTGCAGTCAATTGAGGCGAGAAAAGCAATATTTAGGGTGTGGACGGGCCTGGGGCGATGACAAATGAAAGTTTCACATATCTAAAGGCACTAAAAAGTTTGTAATTTGAATTTATATACCCTGCTTACTTAGGGAAATATAGATACTTCGTGAAGTTTCTTTTTCTTGTTTGAAGGAATTTTGTAAGTCTTAAATTACTAGCTTTTCGGAAAAGTCATATATTTAACTGTGGACCTTTTAAAAGAAGGGCTGGAGTAGGTGGCTTATAAGGAAGCTGATTCATAGTGGGATTGGGAGGAATAGACAACTCTAGATAGGGTAGAGGGGTGGGAGGGGAAGAGAGGGGGCATGAGGTTAGAAATGATGGTGGAATGTGATGATCATTATTATCCAAGTACATTTATAAAGACACAAATTGGTATGAATATTCTTTGTATAAACCAGAGATATGAAAAATTGTGCTCTATATGTGTAAAAAGAATTGTAATGCATTCCGCTTCCTCATATAAATAATTTTTAAAAAGCTACTTAACTTACTTGAAATCCTTTTCAAAATAGAGGTTGTGAGGATCCGATGAAGAATAATACCAAAATTTGATAAAAGTACTATCCCCATAGATTGGGAAATTGAGATTCAGAAAGCTTAATTCATTAAGTCTTAAGCTTTCAATTCTTTGAGAATTTCAACAGAATTGACACAGGAGCTCTAAACTAGGTTGGAAATCATAATCTAGAGTTTATATAGCCTTTATATATGCTTTCATATATATATATATATATATATATATATATATATATGAAATGTATATTTTTTTTAATTTTTCATTGTTGGTCAAAACATTACATATTTCTTGATATATCATATTTCACACTTTGATTCAAGTGGGTTATGAACTCCCATTTTTACCCCATATACAGATTGCAGAATCACATCAGTTACACATCCATTGATTTACATATTGCCATACTAGTGTCTGTTGTGTTCTGCTGCCTTTCCTATCCTCTACTATCCCCCCTCCCCTCCCCTCCCCTCCCCTCTTCTCTCTCTACCCCCTCTACTGTCATTCATTTCTCCCCCTTGTATTATTTTTCCCTTTCCCCTCACTTCCTCTTGTATGTAGTTTTGTATAACCCTGAGGGTCTCCTTCCATTTCCATGCAATTTCCCTTCTCTCTCCTTTTCCCTCCCACCTCTCATCCCTGTTTAATGTTAATCTTCTTCTCCTGCTCTTCGTCCCTACTCTGTTCTTAGTTACTCTCCTTATATCAAAGAAGACATTTGGCATTTGTTTTTTAGGGATTGGCTAGCTTCACTTAGCATAATCTGCTCTAATGCCATCCATTTCCCTGCAAATTCTATGATTTTGTCAAGAAATGTATATTTTTAAAAGCTCTAGTCATTCACCTATTTTTTCAAAAGAATAGAACTCTTACAAACAATGATTATTTTGAAAGTTACTGTAAGTAGTATATTTGTTGCTCAATTTAAGTTTTTATAGTTGCCCTGTGTCTGGAACAATGGGCCTTAATGGATTAAGCAATTTGCCTAAGATTTTACAGCAATTAAGTGAACCCAGTTTAGCTCTAAAACATGCAGATATAACCACTATATTTCCAGAAACAAGAACACGTGGCAAAAAAAAAAAAAAAAAACAAGATTGAAGATAAGCACATTGGAAGCTCAACAGATATTTTTTCTTGAGCTCTTTGCCCTTTGGTCAGTGAATACCAATCTCATTTTATGAAGGCTATATGCATACAAAATAAAGCAACTACAGTGGTAGAACTACTTGGTTGTCTTTTCTTTTTTAAATTTTTTTTCTAAATAAATAAAATAAAAGTATAACACAATACCTTTATTTTATTTATTTAGTTTTATGTGGTGCTGAGGATCAAACCCAGTGCCTCACACATGATAGGCAAGTGCTCTACTGCTGAGCTATAACTCCAAACCTCTTTTTTTTTTAAACATACCATCCTCTACCTCAAGAACTGGGGTTAATTACAGTTATATCATATTGATTAATATTTGTTTTTGTTTTTTTATTTCTCCAGAAAAGGACTCACCACATTCTTCATTTTCTTGATGTCTTCTCAGTTCCTCGTAGTTAATTTTAAATACAAGTGTGTGTAAGGTTAAACTAACTAAAATGGTGCTAAAACAAATAAGAATTTCAAAAAGTTGCTGTAGGATCCTTCAGTCATTGGGTGGAGATAGCTTTTGAGGTGTGAAAGTTCTTAAAAGCAGACTGAGGAATTGTTATTTAACATTTTTAATTTCCTTTATTTTTCCCTTTGGCCATTTCCCCCAAGTATAAGGAAAACTGAAAAAACAAGGGTTTCTTAATAAGCATGAGAGTCAGGTCATAGAATCTTTCATTAGATGAGACAGTATTGTTTAAAGACTCTTCCCACACTTAAATTCTTTGTCCTTTAGGTCAGATTCCTTCTGAGGTTTTTATTATTCAAAGTTTTTTTTACAGGTATATTTTTCAAATTGTATAAAAATTACATTTTCCGCTTGAAAGTTACTGTAAGTGGTATATTTGTTGCTCAAGGCTCCTAGAAAAAGAAATCTAAGAGTTTTGCCAGCTAGCATCCTTCTTCAGGAATAGACACTAAATTAGGATTTGTTACAGGTTTATAGAAAAAGGAGACCCAAATGAATAAGATTGAAGATAAGTGATGTAGAACTGTTTTTAAGTGAAAAGACAACTTGGGGACTTTTGTTGGTGAGGGAGAGCTCTATGAATACCGGAAAGGGAAATAATACTGTCTTTAAGACATGGGAAGAAAAGTTAGCAATTAAACAATGGAAGTGCTATGCAAAATATAGTTGGTTAAAACAGTGTTTTTTTCCCATATGAAACACAAGCTTTTTTGATTATGTGGAAATTAGTGTCATATGCCTTCTGTAAAATACAAACCCCCCAAAAGGGAAGAAAAGCAATGGAAAGTCCTTATAAATGTTGAAAATCCAGCTTACACTTGATAAAAGTAATGAGATATGAAATGCTCCCCATAAAAGAACAGTGTATTGTAGTCTAGTTTATTTTCCACATGTTGGAGCTTCTTTTGTTTGTAATCTGGCAATAACCACACAGATATACCCAAAACGTGACAGCTACTTGTGTGCCTGTAGAATTAATAATCTATGGCACAGAGCTCAGGATAGAGTACATAGCTCTTTGACATGGTGACTCCAGTAGAATGTATGTGTCACATCCTTCCAAAGTGAGGAGTCTTGGATTTTGTTTTTTTATGCTGATAGTAAATATGTTTTATTTCAATCTACTGACCCTTTCTTTCTCACTGTGGTTTGCCACTTTCTTCAACAGATTCTTTTGAACTTTTTATTTTGGTGGACAGTGAGCATCAGCACCAAGATGACTCTAAGGTAAGAGAGGCACTTTAGCTTTGCTTTCTTAGTTATATTGATGAATCATCATTGTATCTTCAATTAACAACATCATTTTACAGGACAACAAAACAAATATGGAGATTTTTGTATGTAGCCTAGAGTCCTATGTAGGAATTCAACCCATGGCCCAGGCCTTAACATAAGTACAAACTAAAGGGAGTATCGATGAAGCCAGCCTTTTTCTTTGTGTTAGTTGGTATTTATCATCAGAGTTCAATCACCCAGTTATTAAAAGTAATAAACTACAATATTAGTGATAGCATTAGGGGATACAGGAAATAAGGTTTTTTTTTCTCCTCTGAGATGATTAGGCTTTACCTAAAACATGGGAGCTTGGTCCCCAGTGCAGCAGTATTGAGTTGGGGCTTCTGGGAGGTGATTGGATCATGAGGTCTCTAATCCCATCAATAGGATCATTCATTCATTCATAGGTTCATAATTAAATGGACTATTGGTAGGTGGCAGAAACCATAGGAATTGGAGCCTACTTAAAGAAAGGAGGTCCCTGGAGGTGTGCCCTATAAGCGTGTATCTTGACCCTGGAATGTGTCTCCTACTACCCCTCGGCATGCACATGCTTGCTCTCTCTTTCTCTCTCTCCCCCGACCCCACCCCTTCTCTGTCTCTCCTTCTTGGCTGCCTTGATCTGAGCAACTTTCCTCCATGATTCCCTTTCTTGCCTCAGGCCTAAAAGCAATGGAGCCAGCTGACCATGGACTAAAACCTCTCAAACTATGAGCCAAAATAAACCTTCCTTCCTTTAAGTTGATTTTACCAAGTTATTTTGACATAGCATTGGAAAACTAACACAGTTGTTGAAGAATTGCATGAGCAGGGAATAAGTCAGTTGGAGGTATGAGAGGCAAGAAGGGGGTAATCAGTAGAATTATTATAAGTTGTAAATTCTAAGTGATTAATAAAAAATATTAATAGCATAGAATGATACTAAAATTGTACCCAGCTTGATTTTCTTTTCTTATGACTTACTAGATGTAACAAACAGGTTGAATATATTTTATAATTCCTGTTGGTTCTCATGTGAGATGCCTGATAGTGTTATATAAAAAACAAATACTGGAGTTAGAGTCAGAAAAGCCTATAAAGAAATTTTATCTCTTATTTTTCCTAGTTGTACATAACCTTAGTCAACTCACATAAGCTTTCTGAGATTTAGTTTCCACAGATGAAAAAAGGAGAGAGTAGCACCTACTCTCAGAGATGTGTAGGATAACATGAAACAGCAAGTGGAAATGTTACACCCCGTCTAGCCACTTCATTTGTAGGGTGTGGAATTTTTGGTACCATCTCTTGAATTGGATGATCACTATCATTTTGGAAATTAACCAAACAAAGTACAGTGTGCTTTCTTACAACACAAAATTGTCACTCTTAGCAAATTAACGTGTTTGTTACATCTAGTAAGTCACATTGACTTAATTCTTTTCAATTTAAAGAAAACTGTACACATACATACAATACAGTTAGCATCCTCTTTGACCAGGCAGCCCTAAAGCCATTCACTCCCTTTGTCCATAGGTTAGTTCCTTTATTTGACATATATTTACAGAGTGTTCTAAGTACCAGGCACTTATGCTAATTGCTAGGATGGAGATTTATGGTGAACAAGATAGAAGGCCTTGTCCTCACTTTCTACTAGCTACACTGATCTAGCTTTTTTTTTTTTTTTTTACCTAATTATACCAGGCACAATGCTGCCTCAGAGTCATTGTGGGTTTTTTGTTGTTATTGTTGTTTTTTGTTTCATTTTGTTGATTGAAAATTAAACCCAGAGTCTACTGCATGCTGAGCATGTTATCTCCTGAGCTATACTGCCACCCTAGGGCCATTACTGTTGGCATTCCATGATTCTGTAACATTCTTCCTCCACATAGCTAAGTAGTTGGCTAGTTCACCATATATAAGGCTTTGTTCAAATTTAACTTTCTCAGTAAGACCTATCATTTTGGAAATTAACAAAAATGTACAATGTGCCTCCCTTGTGGGCATAGTATGTTTTTTTTTTTTTTTTTTTAAAGAGAGAGAGAGAGGGAGAGGGAGGGAGGGAGAGAGAGAGAATTTTTTAATATTTATTTTTCATTTTCGGTGGATACAACATCTTTATTTTATTTTTATGTGGTGCTGAGAATCGAACCCAGCGCCCCACGCATGCCAGGCGAGCGCATCACTGCTTGAGCCACATCCCCAGCCTGGCATAGTATGCTAATTGCATTCTTTTTTTCCCGTTATAGCATTTTTCTCCATTGTGCTTCTAACTCTGTATTTTACCTTGTTATTGTCTGTCTCCCCAACTAAAATATAGATTCCAAAAGGGCAGAGATCTTTATCTAAGTTATTAATTGTTTTACATACAGTACCTACCATAATAATAATTATTTTTCAAATGAATGAATAAATAAAAGATAAAAATTAGAACATGTATTTTCTTCTTGAATTTTAATGCCTAAAATGACCTAATAAATGGAAGTGTGATTCCTATATGGTCTCCCAAATTGAAAACATAGATATCTTTTCTATCTCCCTACTTCTACAAAAGAATATTTATTTTAAAACTGTAAGTGATGATTCTAACAGTAACCATGATTTAGATAAGTTATGGCTGAAGTATTTTGAAAATTTGGGCTGTATTACTTTAAAATTAGGTTTTAGACAATTTATGCTATATTTGTTCATTTACCTCTTAATTGATATTATGTTGAATCTTAAATTCCTGCAGATTCCAAAGCCAGCCTTCTCTCTAGTCTCTAGAAGTGTTCTTCTCTGGTTCTGTAGAGGACTATTTTTTCACTAATCTCAAGATCACTGGAAGAGTGATCCAAAGGCATGTGCAACATTGTTCAACATAATTTTGTGTATCATCTACATATTTCTAAGCATGCTAGGGAGTCTAATGAATTTTACTTCAAAACTTTCTTTGAGTCAGAAAGACAAGGTGTAAATACACAGGAATTTTGCATGAGATCATCCAAATGCTGGCTTTGGATATAAGTAACCTCCCAAAGTCTCCATTTACATATTAATTAAATTTATAGAAATATTACATACCTTGTATGTTTGTTGTCTGGAGCAAATAAGGTACTCTGTCAGTCAGTATATTCTGGGTTATGTTGCAATAACCAACAATTCTACAAAATCTAAGCTTAAAACAATAAAAGCTTATTTCTCTCTTTATCTATAGTAACAGTGGCTCTGCTATTGCACAGTCTTCCTTTAGCTCTTTAATCGGGAACCCAGACTGATGGAGCACTACTTCTTATTACATTGCAAATTACTAAGGTAAACAAAAAGGAGACTCTAGAAGAACCCATGTGGGCAATTACATGCTAGATTCTAAACTGACACATGTATTTTCCAGGTACATGCTGTGATACAGGTGGTGATCAGTCTTTGATTGCATTATCTTTTTAAGAAGCCAGAATAGAGTCCTCTTCATGCATGTTACTTTTTCAGACATTTCAGCATCTGAAGGATCTGCATGCTTACCTACACCCAACATGCCTGCCCCTTTTCCTAGGAATAGATAATCGTAGGCTGGCAAATGATCCACTCTTCTTTGATCTGCTTCCAGATCTGGTGACTGGAGCTGGCATTGACTGTTGGATTGGTCCCATTTGGATCCTACCAAGCATTCATGTCACAGCAGAGGATGCTGGAAGCCAGCCTATTCAGAGGCCTGAAGCAATACATGTGGTTGGAGCTGAAGTGCCCAAAGAAAAGCAACTTAGGTGATTTTTATCTTAAAGATTACATTATCTTTCAAGCAGATAGATATCAAAGAGATTCACCTGGAACACATCCATAAACTGAAGGCAGAGAAAGCCTCCAGGAAGCTCCTAGCTGACCAGACTGTAGCCTGTGGGACTAAGAGCAAGGAATCCCAGACCATCCTGAAGAGCCACCCCAGGCTGAGGAAGAGATAATCAAGGTTTTGTCCAAGGAGGAAAAGATCATGAAGTAAAAATCATCCTCTCTTATTTGTACATAGTGGTTTAGGCATTTATATACATCAATCACTCAATACAACAAGCCTTTATCTGCCATAAAGCTAAGAAAAGAAATAATTTTATAATTAGCCAAAGAAAATAAGTGTTGAGTTTAATTTTAATAAGGATTAGATGATAAATTGGTTATGCACTATTTATCTTGGCTGAACACACCCTGGTAGTATATATATGCACAAGGTTAAAAAAACAGTTCTTAGGACTGCTTAGACCAAGACCTAGAATCACCATGGATAGGTCAGCTTCTCCCTATGGGTTGAGCACTGTCAGGAGGGTTAACAAGAGGTCAGCCTGGGTATTGTGTGGTACTTAATATTTTATACTAGAATCTTTTTTACAGTACACACTTACTTTGCTAATTCCAATCAAAAGGAGAAAGGAGGATTTTATCTTAAGCATTTATTTTTTTTAATTTTATTCTTTTGTAGTTGTAGATAGACAGCATGCCTTTATTTGTTTATGTGGTGCTAAGGATTGAACCCAGTGTTCATTAAACCCAGTGCCTCACCTTGCTAGGCAAGTGCTGTGACACTGAACTATAGCCCCAACACCTTAAGTATTTATTTTAAACAAACATTTGAGCAATAAGACTGACAAAAAAAAATGTGGATGTGTAACCGATGTGATTCTGCAATCTGTATTTGGGGTAAAATTGGGAGTTCATAACCAACTTGAATCTATTGTATGAAATATGATATGTCAATAGCTTTATAATGTTTTGAACAACCAATAAAAAAATAAATTAAATAAAAAAAGTACATGAGTACTTAATGAGTACATGAGGGTGATTGATACCTACTTCCAAATTTGCAAGTAAATGGATGTAAGTAAATGGCTACTTTAAAAATATTTAGGATCCTTACTGGGCATGGTAGCACACACCTGTAATCCCAGTGGCTCAAGAGGCTGAGGTGGGAGGCTGAGGCAAGAGGATGGCAAGTTTGAGACAAACCTCAACAACTGATGTGTCTCAGTGGTTAAGCACCCTTGGGTTCAATACCTGGTACTCCCCCCAAAATAAAAAGTATTAGGAATCCTTTAAATGATATCTAAAGTAATTTATTCTCTCTTGTAGTCTTGGGTTTGATACTAATTTCTTAAAATTCTTGTAAAATTAAGCCTCAACCAAACCTGACAGCAATGTCATAAGATACAACTTTTTGATGTCCGAATAAATGATTTTCTAGGCATATAAGTACGTAATTTAAAGCCACTGTATTATCTGATACAGACTGTTGGATAAGTGCTAACTCATAATGAGGTTGCAAATTTAAACATAATGAAATTAAGAATACAAGAAGTAGGGGTTTGATGCAGTGGGGGAAGTTGAAGCATGAGATTCTTTTTGTTTTTCCCTTTCTCACTTTTTATGAAAAGATTTATTTTTTTCTGATGATATGAAAACTATATATTTTATATGTCTAATTTGCTAAGACTTCTACTTCTTTACTTCTGTTTGTTTTGTTTTTTATGATTAAGACAAGGCCTTTGGAACTTTGTTTCTTCTTTCCTTCACCTGCTCTCCTGACCAAACTATACACAACTGCTTTCTTGCTGTGGCATGGGATTATCTCACACAAACAGACCTACAATTTTTGTAAATTAAATGCTTTAATCAGTCACCTACTTACCTCTCATTTCCACAACTGTCTCGATTTATTTTTCTCAGGTTTTTTCCCCCCTCTAATAGTCTTTTCTGACTCCTCAATGTCTGACCCTTTCTTTTTTGCTCCATGACATATGGATATAGTGTTTCTGGGTATAAAACCCTATTTTTTTTAATTATATTAGTTCACCTGAAGTAGTACTTCACTATCTTCTTGTGTCCAGTGTTATTGTAGAGGAATGTGATGTCAACCTACTCTTGTTCTTTTCATGATTTTCTGTTTTCTCACACAGCTTTCTTTCTCTCTTGCTCATGCACGCACGCATGAGCATGCTGTCTCTGATCTTAAATTTTATGGCAGTGTGTCTAGGTATAGTTTTCTTTTCCTCATCGCTTTTAACTCTCTATGACTTTCAGAGAGATTTCGTCTTTATTTGATTCTGGAATATAACAGTCTTTAAATAGTCTTCCTGTTAATTGTTTCCTCCTTTCATCTTGTTTCCCTCTTTAAGAACTCATGTTAGTTGAATGATAGATGCTTCTCTCCTACATTTCCTATGAATTACTCTTTTATAGTTCCTAATTCTTTATAATAAGAATATCTTGATCTGACGGTGTAACTCAGTGATAGAACAGTTGCCTAGTATGCTCAAACCCTGGATTTGACCCCAAACACATACACATATTTACCAGATATAATAAAACGACTTTACATTTATGCAGCATTAGCTATTTGCTAAAGACTCTAATGTACATTTTGCATCTTTTAACTAATTTAATCCTCATTACAAAACTATATAGGTATGATTACCTATTTTACATGAGGAAATGATTAAGATAGTTAAGAGTGATTTGTTTAAAGTTTCTCAACTATTAAGTTGCATACATGAGATACAAACCCAAAGCATCTTAATTTTAGCCAGTATATCATGTTGCTTATCTTCATTCCTGATACTACTAGTAGGTATTTGACCTGTTCTTCCAGCCACTAGTTAATTTATTGATTGTTTCTATTCTGCTATTGATCTTTCCTCTTGAATTCTTTCTCAGAAGCATATTCCAGTCCTCACACAATAAAAGGAAAATACAAGTAAGATGATAGATTCCATGTTATAGTGAATCTGGAAATACAGGGAAAGTGCCAAAATTTTTCACCACTTTAGACATGTTAGATAATCAATATCCTGAAACATACAGGTGAATTTTTTTCTAAAAAAATTTTAGTGGGAATTTCTTAAATCATCAACATGTATCATCCTTGACTTCTAAGCACCACTAACAACTTCCAATCCAAAAAATGTTATTTTCATTAGCATAATTATCAGAGTTATTACTTGCCATAATGTTGGAGGACATATAATACCTGAGAAGTTGAAAGTTTGTTTATAAAGTGATGTGTACATGTATGTGTGTGTTTACCCACAGATATTCATTTGTATATATTTGTATATTAAAATATGTATCATAAAAGGAATATTGTTACATTTAATTGCTTTATGTGAGAGACTAGATTTTATTCTACTTCCAAGGAGACTAACAGTATGGAAGTAAGTAAGCCTGCTAAACTCATGCTGTCCTGGTAGAACACTCTGGAAGAGACTTTGGAAGTAGAATAGCCATCATATTTGAGAAACTATATCATCACTGCTCATCAAATTGTAGTTTAATAATATAGTCAAAACTTTCAAAGGAATAGAAAAATTATATTTCAAGTGTTTTTCAAAATTATTCACAATGGAGCCAGGCGCGGTGGTGCACACCTATAATCCCAGTGGTTCAGGGGGCTGAGATAAGAGGATCACAAGTTCAAAGCCAGCCTCAACAAAGGTGCACTAAGCAACTCAGTGAGACCCTGTCTCTAAATAAAATACAAAATAGGTCTGGGGATGTGGCTCAGTGGTTGAGTGGCCCTGAGTTCAATTTCTGGTAACAAAAAAAAATTGTTTACAATGGAGAATTATTTTCTCTGGTAGCAAAAGAAGGAAAAATGGGTGTAGTTCATAATGAAGGCTTAGATGGATCCTTTGTTATGGTACTAAATCCTGTACCCTAAAAGTTAAGGCATATTTTTTATTTGCTTTAATTAGTTACACATGACAGTAAAATGATCTTGATATATACAATTGAATCAGATGGGATATAATTTCTCATTTTTCTGAGTGTACAGGTTGCAGAATTACATTGGTGATGCAGTCACGTATATACCCACAGCAATAATAATGTCTGTTTTATTCTGCTGTCCTTCCACTCCCCCCTTCATTTCCCCTCTCCTCCCATCACTTCTCTCTTCCCAATCTAATGTGACACAGTTCTTTTCTTTCCCCTTACATCATCATACCTGTATTCTGTATAACGAAGGGGGTCTCTGCTCCACCTCTGCTCTACCTCTTGATCTTCCATCTTCCGTGCAATTCCCCTTCTCCCTCCATTTCCCTCCCACCTCTCTTCCCTATCTAGAGGTAATTTTCTTCTCATGCTCTTCCTCCCTACCCCATTTTGAGTCACCTCCCTTATATCAGAGAAGACATTCGCCATTTGTTTTTTTGGGATTGGCTAACTTCACTTAGCATAATTTGCTCTAAGTGAAGGCATAATTTATACAATTCCTTTTGCAGGTCTGTGTCCAGGAAAAAATTATAAAATGGTTTTAGTAAAGGATAGTAGTTACTCCTAAATTCTATTGTATTCAAGAGTTATCCTAGGGGATTGTCAAAAAGACAGATTTCCAAACCTTACATTTTAAATCACTAGATTTTAGTAAATGGGATTAAGTCTGCTGCAAAGAAGAGAATAATCTAAAATAACCTAAACACTTAAATAAATTAGCAGCTTATTTCCTCTGGAGGGAAATAGCCCAACCCTGATATGTTGGCATCATGGGGACCCAAGATTCTTCCTTCTTCACCACCCAAGGTGCCTGGCTCTACCTCTTGATCTACAGGGCTTCTGGTGTCTACTTCCAGGCATGGAAAAAATGTGTGTTCCTTCTCTTTACAGGTGTCTTATTTTTTATGTGACATTTCTGCTTTCATTTGATTTTTCAGAACTTTGTCACATGTAAAAGAAGCCAGTAAATATAGTATCACAATAGCTGTATTGCTAATCCTAACTAAATCAGGATCATGTCACTAAAAAGGAAGGGGGCAATGATGTGGGGTAGCCAATTAGTCATCTGTGCTCCACTGCATGTAGACTGTTGCCCAGGAGCCAGGAATGTTTAACAGGTGTTCTGTGTGACTCTAATGGAGGTGGCCCATGGGGTGCACAATAACAGTACTATAGGAAATAAGAATAAGGGGGAAATTATAATTGACCAATGTTTTTTTTTAAGCAGTCCAATTGATGGAGATAACAAGGAAAATGTATACCTTGAAAAACCACCTCCTATTTATAAAGAATGTTAAAAAATTGGGTATTAGTGTTAAATTTTTTAATTGGCTTAGTATTACCACATTATTATATATGGATTATTATTTCTGAACATCTAAAATACACACTGAGTGCACACATGGGAACTTGTACACATGCACGCACACAATTGATTGCATTGAATTCCTCAGGTGGACTCTTGAATGATATAAAATCTCAGTTATCAATGTGATTGCTAATTATAACTGAACAGCCATTGAATTTTCCTAGGTTCTGATTTTAGAATAAGAGGTGTTCATTCATAGTGCAAGCTTTGGGCTTAGTTATATAATTCAGTGTATACAAATAAATGCAAACATACATGCATCCATACAAGCTTTGAGTCGCATCCATGCCTTCTGTGGCAACTCAGTCCTTTCTTTTTACCTCCATCTTCCTTTCCCTGACTGCTTTCCTATTACCCAAATTCCATGTAAAAAAGCACTTCACTGCCAGAGGCCCTTTCTCTTTATAAAGTCATTGCTTTGAAAGAATCATCCTGTTGCTGTAAGCAGAGCCAGTCTGTCCATTCTGGGGTTCTTAAGACGCCAGAAGCTGGGTCACATCAGTGGAAATGGCCACATGGTCTAAGCAGCCACCTGGGACACAGCTACCCTAATCCCCA